AAAAAAAAAAGTATTAAAGAAAAAAAGAATTACAATATGTATTACAAGAATAATGCAAATGAAAAATTGCTGCAAAAAAAGGGTGAAAAGAAATATAATCATTGTATACTACTTGGTTCTGCAAGAATATTTACATATTCATAACAACAGAAAAAATTTAAATTGATTTAAATAAAAATTATGATACAATTATATGGGAAGGAAAGAGACATGAGTGTAGTGCAGAAGAGCTAATTTTTTTTTTTTTGAGACAGAGTTTCGCTCTTGTTACCCAGGCTGGAGTGCAATGGCGTGATCTTGGCTCACTGCAATCTCCGCCTCCTGGGTTCAGACAATTCTCCTGCCTCAGTCTCCTGAGTAGCTGGGATTACAGGCATGCGCCACTATGCCCAGCTAATTTTTTTGTATTTTTAGTAGAGATGGGGTTTCTCTATGTTGGCCAGGCTGGTCTCAAACTCCTGACATTGGGTGACCTGCCTGCCTCAGCCTCCCAAAGTGCTAGAATTACAAGTGTGAGCCACCACACCCACCCTCAACATAGATTTCTACACTTGAATCAAATATTAGGGTAGGAAAAAGATTTCATGCATGACTTTATCAAATTTTCATTTATGATATACCCTTTCTTTAAAAATACTGGACAAAAAAACCAAAACCAGAAACAAAACAAAAAAGTATAAAAATTAGCTGAGCATGGTGGAACGTGCCTGTAATCCCAGGTACTTAGGAAGCTGACGCAGAAGAACTGCTTGAAACCAGGAGGCAGAGATTGCGGTGAGCCAAGATTGTGCCATTGCTCCCCAGCCTGGGCAGCAAGAGCAAAACTCTGTCAAAAGAGAAAAGAGAAGAGAAAAGAAAGAAGAGAAGAGAAGAGAAAGGAGGAGAGAGGGAGGAAGGGAGAGAATGAAGGAATAAAGAAAATAAATACTGGAAAATGTGATCCACTGAAATAAGAAAATAAGTCAGAGGATGACCAGGAGATAGGAAATCTGGTACAGGAGAGAACTTGATCATACTCTCCAAGAGCAGCAGTAATCACAGAGCAGTGGGCTAGAGAGGAACAAGAGGATAGAGAAAGGTCTTCAGGAAAAAAATGGATGAGAGATAATGACAGGTTTATTTTAAAATTTGGGAAGGCTGTTGGATGACATGAAAATAATTACAGGTCGGGCGCGGTGGCTCATGCCTGTAATCCAAGCACTTTGGAGGCCAAGGCAGGTGGATCACCTGAGGTAGGGAGTTCAAGACCAGCTTGACCAACATGGTAAAACCCCGTCTTTAAAAAAAA